GGCGGCGCTCGGGGGGCTCGCTGTGTAAGTACCCGCGGGCCCCGCCTCGGGCCGGCCCTCGCCGCTTCCGCTCCTCACAAGCGAAAAGGAGAAGCGAGCCCCGAGCTGGGGAGGGCTTCTGGGGGAAGGGCGTGATTGGTATTTCATGGCTGAAGTACTCGCGGAGTGGGAGGCTGGCTGTGTGAGCAGCCTGCCCCAGGAGCAGGGCCAGGTGTCACCGCCATTGCCTGGCCCTGCCAGAGCTGAGCAGCTCAGCCAGACCTTACCCCATAGCCCTGAGGGTCGGCCTCGCCTTACCCAGGGTACAAAAGCCGCTGGGTGCTGATCTGAGCTTGCTGATGCACTCAGAAAGGTGGAGAACATGGTTGCGGTAACATAGCCTGCACATGGGTCAGCAGTCCTGCCCTTGGTTTTTGGTTTTTGAGCCGGGTACATAAGATGCAGCGTTATCCTGGGCTGCTGCCTGTGTCCCAGCAGCACATCTCCAGGTGCCCCTGGCCCAGGGCCGGCCTGCCCAGGAGCTGCCACACACCCATGGTAGGTGCACAGCGTCCATGTGCTGTGAAGAAATACATCCCCTGAGCGAGGCTCGTGTGCCAGGCAGGGTATCCAGCCTGCTGGAGCTTAGCAGGACAAGCTCATGCTGAACTGGGAAAGATTTAATTTGCATTGTCCTTCTTTTTTTCTTAGTGTCTTCTACATGGAAGTGGTCATGGGACAAAGTACGTGTCCTAAGGAGGTGGAAAACTATGTGGCATCCATGGTGCTGAGTGCAGTTGCTGACACGCTGGGATATAACAACGGGAAATGGGAGTTCCAGCAGAGTGGCTCAGTCATTCACAAGGAGCTGGCAGAGAAGGGGGGACTGGGCAACTTCAGCATTCAAGGCTGGAGAGTCAGTGATGACACCGTGATGCACTTGGCCACGGCCGAAGCGCTGGTAGCTGCGGGGAGAAACCCACGCTTACAACATCTCTACTTTCTGCTTGCAAGGAACTACAAGGAGTGCATGAATGACATGGAGGGCAGGGCTCCAGGTAACTCCTCCATCGTGCTGTCTGGGTACAGCTGTGCTGTCACTCATGTCTCTCCTGCAGCTTGGAGCTCTGCTTTTGGCTGTTTAGAGTGCTAACTGTGTTTCACGTAAAGGCAAAAGCGTTCCACACTCAGTAGCTGTTTCAGGATGAGATAAAGAGAATAAAATAAGGCAAGCTGAAGTGGTTTGGGCTTCTCTGAACTAGATGAAAAAAGTATTGTTTTGCCCACATTTACAAAACATTTTTACAGGTGTGTTTGAGGCCTAGCTTTAGATCGAGTACGGTGATGGCTTTTGCACGTGGGATTCCTACATTCAGTGGATAAAAAAAATGCACATTCAGCCACTGTAATGCACACCCTGAGATGCTGTGTTAAGCAACACATTTAAACAGAGAATTAATACAGAACTTACAAGTGCAACAAATTATATGTAAAATATATTAAAAGGCACAAAGATCCTTGCTTGGAATAATTACACTTACTAAACCCAAAGTCTACTTGTGGCTAGCTCTGCATTCCTGCTTTCTGTGCCAGGACAGTCAGGCCACAGTCTTATTTTCTGAACTCTGAATCTTTTTCTGAAACCCTGTACTTCCATCATCTCTTTTTTCTGCATAGACACAGTGGTGCCAAGTTTGTGTCACAAGCAGTGGGCCTGGCATTATTCAGGAAGGGCACCTTGACAGGCTACAGTAGTCAAGATATATACAACATATCCGTGTGTTTCCTAGTTCACCCAGCCCTCCTCACCCAGCTCTTCCTTGAGGATTCCATCTTCCTCTGTGCTCATGGCCCAGGCTCTTCTGGGTGCCTGGATTACATTTAAATTGGAGCTGCTTAGGTTGGGCCTCTAATTTGACCAGCACAGGAAGTGTGAAGTATCCAGAAAACACTCGAATTCAGCAGTCCTGTGCAAAGTTTATACATTGAAATTGTATGTACACTTAGACGTACTTGTTTGGAGTGGCCAGAGTATGTCAAGAGTGTTCTGTCTTGACATTAAACATGGGAAAGGCCAAATCTTGCCACTGAGCATCGTGTACTGAAGCTGTGCATTTCCAAAATAAACCAGGTTGGAAACCTGAACAGGAATTTATTCTGCTTACCTTTCCACAGTGGGCTCCTATCCTTGTGTAAAGAACTAAATGATCAGTCTTTTTTTAACACCCATATTCCCAGTTGTTGGAGTGGCCTAACTAGTAAAATATTTAGGAAGGGGTAATGATGCTTTTCAGGACAGCTGAAGTTGGCAGATCAAACTTCCAAGAGATTCACTGCAGTTTTGGAGAAGCAGCATAGTTCAGTTCCCCCAGCCAAGATGGACTAACCACAGCTGGCAGTGACACAGCATGGTGAAGGATTTTCACCCTCTAACCTCGGTGACTAAAACCTAAGATGAAAAGCAGAAGAACCTAAAATTTAAATGTTAGTAAATAATATCTAAGGATAATAGGACACCTACTGCACTCCTGTGACTTAAGTGAGCTGCAATATGCCCAGAAGAAGTTCCCATTTGGAAGTGAAGAATTTGAAAACAAACTTGCTATGGACATTAAGAGGAGTGACAAGGAAAGGTCATATTATCTAGGTAAAAAAATAAATACATATTGTTTAGTGGGTCCAAAGACAATTTAACATCTTACAATCAGAATTGCTCCTGCTGCAGCTACAGGAAAGGCATTCAGCTCTGAGAGTTTTAATCCTGACCCTTAGCACTTGAATTCCCATTGAAGGGAATACTTAATCCATACCCTGAAAAGCTGTCTGCAGTCTGGAGTCTCCATGCCATATTGGTAAGTCTTAATGATAAAAGTTGCATAGCACTAACTTCTTTTGGCAGTTGAGAATAAATAGATTTTAACTGAGAACATAACCCATCGTGGTGCTGTTCTGGCCTAAGTACTCACCAGGGAATTGCAGCCCTGAAAGCTGAGAATGGAAAGTTGCTGTTGGAAATTTTGCTCAACACAGAATTCAGAGATTTCCTTAGAACAGTGGGGGAAAGTCACATTGATGGTTCACATGAGGGAGTCCAGACCTGAAAACCCAAAGCTGCAGTAACAAAGGGATTCCCACAATGTTCTGAGTCACAGGACAGCCACAGCAGACTCCCTCAGGGACAAGAGAACTCTGGGGATAGTAATTCAATGACAAGGTAATCCCTCCATCCACTATTGCTATTTGTGATGTGCCACAGCCCCAAATTCATTGTTCCTTGCAGATTACAATGAATTAAGCAACACAAATGTAGACATACTTCTTTTTCCATGGTGCAACTACAGTGCTTCTCCAGGAAACCTGCTTCAAAATTGTCTTTTGGTCCTAGTCTTCTCTTGGAATTACTTACCACTGTGTGGTTTGTTTAACTCACCTTTTTTATATGTACTGTTCAACCCCAAACAGCTGTTAATGTCTGTGCTCTTGAAGAGTCTAGGTAAGTGGAATGAAAGCCTATCCCAAAAATTGAGTCCAGTTCTTGAAACTTTTTCAGGTTGCCTTAATTCACACACTACTTTTTCCTTGTATTTCTTCTTCCCATAGACCAGTACCATGCTTAGGTTACTTTTAGTTTCCTGTTGCTAATACAAAGGATTCCTAACCTGGATGTGAAGGATATCTAAAACAACTTCCTATTTCAAAAACTCCCTTTTTGAAAAAAATCTGTTTTTTAAAAAAAAGATCTGATGTGATTCCAGCTTAGTCTTCCTAAAGTTTTTAATATTTCAACTGTTTAAAAGCGTGAGGAGTAATACTTGTAATACTTCATAAATCGTAAGCGTCTTAGCTGTCATACACTGGTTTGTTTCACACTGATAACTTGAAAGTTATCAGTAGTCATCCCCTAAAATAATATGCACAGGCTTAAAGTTGCAAACAAATTGTACTGCAAAATAACCAGTCTTTCTTTCTATTTAAAGCCTTGTCATCTTCCTTTTTATTTTAGCTACAATTAGTGCAAGAACAATCTTACTTTTTATCAAGGACTGAGGTGTGTGGTCTTAACCTGCACAGACATGTCCTGAAGAAATGTTTTTTTTCTCAAAGTTTCAGCAAGAGTAATCTTTGCTTTTGTTATTCAGATTTTGATTTTATGCTACCTTAGTCCCTGTGCTCTCTACCCTCCCCCTTGTTTTCCTGGAAGAAGTTCTCTTTTACCAGAATATAGAGAGTAGTTGGAACAGCTTTTTAAAAACGTGGTTTTGTTCATTTTAATGTCCTGTTACAGGTCATTGGGTACAATGCTTGGTATGGTGAGATTTTGAGAAAAATGCCTCAATTTTCTGTTAGTCATCATGAAGTTGGAAATCATGCTGATGGCCCTTGTAACAATTTTGATACACAGCAGCCAGCACTGAATTAGTAAACTACATGAAATTTAGAGGCCTGACCATGTTCCCACACTGAGACACCCTAAAAGCAAACTCACAGGCACTTCACTTAGAGGTTGGTGGTGACTGGTCCGAGCAGAGCTAAAGATACTTGGCCCAGCACATGACACTATTCCTGAAAGTGGCCAGCTGTTAGTTATTTTTAGCATATGTCCAGAAGCCAGTCTTCAAGCTGTGCATGGATTTGGAGATATTTCAATTCCAAGGGTGCTGTAAATGCAGGTAAAACAGACTGCCATAAACCAAACCCTACTGCCAAACATGTACATGGAAGGGCAGAAGCCAAGAGCTCTGCAGGGGACTTAGTGCAGTGCCTGGCTGTGATTAGCAAGGTCACGGATCACGGTGACTGAGTTGCAGCAAACTGAGGTGAAATTGCTTTGACCAGGCTTCTTCCTTGCTGCTTTACTGTATTTAGTTTGACTTCCAAAGTAAAAGAAAGAGAACCTGCAAGTTCACCAGCCACCTGTCCCCAGTGAGGGAACAAAGCATGGGAGCAACAGTCTAGTTTTGGGGGAGTGGTAACAGCCAGCTGCTGCTGTTAACCCTGTGTGTCTGAGAGAGGACTGAGCACACTGGGGTTAGTCTACTGAGTCCACCTTTGCCGTTGTCCAACCCATTAAAACTTAAATGAAGCTGCTTGAAACCTGCCTTGAATTACCTTCCTACTGGAAAAGAAGTATTTCAGATTGGGCCAGACGAGAAGACTAGGAGAAAAAAGCAAGGTAGAAGAGAATCAAAGATAATTCAATGATCCAAACCTGTTTCTTTACACACAAGCATTTGGGCTTAGCTCTCAAAACATTTCACCATCTTGGCTGGGGAAGCTGGCTGGGCTCTGAAATTTGGGGGTGTTTTCTTTGTCCTGTGAATGTGTTGGACTAACAAGTGCTAGTCTGAAGAAGCAGCACTGGAAGAAGCAGAGTTAATTTTGATTTCTTTAAAAAGTAGATAGCAGAAAGAGATGGAGGTGGGCTTGCCTCATTCTTGGAGTCTTTCTGTAGTTACCCTTTAGTGGCAGTGTTTGGAGATGAACTAGTGAGCTGGATAGTCCTTTGGTCTCACCCAGCACAGCTGCTCTTCAGCTTGTGGAAGAGAAGTACAGTAAAGCCAGTAATGCAGACCGTGTTGAGGTGAGAGAGGTGCTACTCTCAAGGCTTTCTGACAACTTCAACTGCAGCAAGGGAGAGCTGGAAAACATTTTCTGCCAGTACATTTTGTATTAGTGAGGCAATGGGAAAGATTCCTGAGGAGCCTGTGCGGTCTCTGCCTTTAGAAGTCCTGTGAAAAAGCAGTTACCTAGACTTGCCTTCTGTAAGAGATCTGACAAAACTTTCTGTTTAGAGAGAGAGAGAGATATCTAGGTCTATCTAGGTGTATATACCTATGTTTTATGGATAACACAAAATGTAAATATAGACCATGTCAGTAAATGAGCAGTGAAGTGTTTCCTACCCTCTAGGCCTTTTAAATATTTTCCCAAACAAAACTTATTGGGTCTGCTGGGGAGGATGCAGGATGCTCCAGCAGTTTAAGACAGGATATGTATGTGAGCAGTTTGTTTTTAAAAGGAAGCTCAAATCCCTTGTGCAGAGCGATGCCTTCTTCCCCACTGCCCTGCCTGTCTTCCCCATCCCCAAGCTATCTCCTGCTGATGTTTCTGTTTCTTCTTCCTCCTGGACTTTGCCTGTCTGCAGGTGCCATGTCTGTGGAAAGCACCATGAAGCTGGATCCGGAGCGGCCGAACGGCTGGCGGGTCCCGTTCAGCCCGCGGGCAGGAGGCTGCGGGGCCGCCATGCGCGCCATGTGCATCGGGCTGCGCTTCTACCGCCCCGACCAGCTGGACACCCTGATAAAAGTCAGCATCGAGAGCGGCCGCATGACCCACCACCACCCCACCGGCTACCTGGGGGCCCTGGCCTCAGCCCTCTTCACGGCTTATGCAGTCAACAGCGTGCCCCCCGTGGCCTGGGGGAAGAGGCTGATAGAGGTGCTGCCACAGGCAAAAGCCTACGTGCAGGAGTCTGACTTCTACGTGAAGGAGAACATGGAGCAATGGTGAGCTGCACTCCCTGCACTGCCATTTCTTCGAGGCCTCGTACGATGGGGCAAGCTCTGCTCTTACTTAAGTTTCAGTAATCACATTATGGTAAACTCCTAGGACAGCATGTACCTGCCATAGGATCAAATCAATTCAGAATACCTTAACGTGGGGGGAAAAAAAAGGCAGGCTTGTGTTTTGTCAGGTAGTTGTGACCATTGTTTGGATCCAGTATGAAGTAGGTACACTTGTCATCTCATGCAACTGTGATTTTGTGAAAGACGGCAAGCAGGGCTGGGGAACAGCATCAAGCTTAGGTCTGAGCTCAGTTTGAAAGTTATAACCAAATCTGACTGTATATTCACTGCACCTCTGTGTGCAGGGGCACACACAGAGGTAAAGCTGCTCTGAGTTTGGGAGGATGACTCAGTTCTCACTCTGAGCCTCTGAATCCTGCAGGTGCTGGGCTGCCTTCTCCCTTGTGACTGGAGGGAGGGGAAATCTCACTCACTGAAACATGTCCTTGTGCCTCTTACTGTAAATCACATCCCTAGTTTTGACAAACGGGGGCCGCCTGCCATTTTGCTGAGCCCTGGCTCGGGGCTCTTGACGTGGCGCGTTTTCCGCTGGCGCTTGCGCGGTGCTCAGCTGTGTGCTGCTGCCCGGGGACAACTTACAGCCGCTCCATCCCATCCTGTTTGGCAGGTACTACTTCGAAGAGCAGTGGAAAAAATACCTGGCGGAGAGAGGCATCTCAGACGGGGTCTCATCACCCAAGTTCCCGCCCAAGTACGGCGTGGAGGAGAGAGATGCGTTCTACACCTCCGTGAGCTACAGTGGCTGGGGGGGCAGCAGCGGGCACGACGCGCCCATGATCGCCTACGACGCCCTGCTGGGCGCGGGGGACTCCTGGACAGAGCTGGCTGACCGCGCCTTCTTCCACGGGGGCGACAGCGACTCCACGGCTGCCATCGCCGCCAGCTGGTGGGGCGTCATTCACGGCTTCCAGGGGGTTCCTCCCTCCCTCTACACCCACCTGGAGTACAAGGACCGCCTGGAGAAGGTAGCCAGGGACTTGTACAGCATCGTCTAGGCAGGAGATGGCAGGGACGCTTCCCCAGCGGCTGTCTTGTGCTCTCTTGCTTGGTTTGCAACCCCCCACCGGATTAAACCTCGTGAATGTAAGCCAGAGCCAGAGCCAGAGCTGCTTTTTCTCTGTGTGTTAGCTTCAGTGGGGAGGTCATGTCGGTGCTACTTTGGGGCTGGTGGTTTGCTGGGAACACACAATGGTCCCCCAAGACATCCCTCGTGCACTGCAGCAGCAGGACAGGCAGAAAACCCCACTCAGGCTGCCCCAAACCAGCATCTTGCTCCTTCAAGGGGAGCAGGGGTCACAAGTAGCCCATTGTATCTGGGGATAACAGAGCTTTCTTATAAAATTAATTTAACAAAGGATATTTTTTGTTTCAAATGAATGTGGAAAAAGTCCCTAAATCCGACCTTAAAGCTGTGTGAACAGCGCATTTTACCCGGTTCCACACCACTTCTGCAATACAGGTAGGAATGCATCATGTTACTTCCCCATTTCAGTGATATGGGAATTCAAGACTCTGGCCCAAATCCTTACTTAAGGCTAAAGTGGGTAATGAGAATTAACAGGTTGCATTTTACATCAGCTTCTGTTGTGAACTGTATTCTATTTTCATCAAGGTTACTAAAGGTAATTTGCTTAACATTTGTTATGCATAATACCATTAAAATAAGGTTTTTCTTCAAATCCAGACTATGACACAGCAAAGTACTTTTACTGTTTTCAGAACAATTTCAAAACCAGGGTATCCCATTCAGTAAAAAGACCTGACAGGCCTCAGTTAAATGTTATATTCTGTTATGGTATGGGTTGAGGGATGGATGTGGTATGAAATCAGAGGTGCCAAGTTGTCTGCAAGCTCCAGCTGCAAGAGAGAAGATGTGCTACCAATGTTTACTACAGCTCTTGGGTGTGTTGTATAAAACATGTTTTAGTGCAACATAGTACAAAGTTTTTGTTGTTTTTTTTTTCACTTTTTTCTTTTTTTAAAAATCCCAAACATTTTTCCACATCATGCATGGACAGGGTCTCTCTCTTCTTGGGTTCGTTACAGAAAGTTACCACAGAGAGAGTGATTTGAAAAGCTTTGTGTTAAAACTCATATAGGAAGAGTCTGCCTTATAAAAACCAAAAGAAGTTTGAGACTGGGCAAGACACTGCCAGAGCAATGGAGAAATGTCACCAGCAAGGTACATTCAGGGACCACCGTGGGAGCCATTTCCCAGGAAATCCTGGGCTCTGTGCAGGAACTGCAGGGCTGGGAAGAGACCCTGTCCACCCAGGGGGGCAGGGCCATGGGGCAGGCCTTCAGGAGAGCCCTGCTCTGGGGCAGACAGGTTGGCGAGGAGGAGCGTGGCTCGGGTGCAGAGCAGAGCTCTCCCAGGAAAGATCGGCTCCCGCTGACTTCATTTTCTCTTCTTCCTTCAAGCTGAAGCGAGTCGTGGTTCCTGCCCGGGAGCAGTATGTCCAGGAGACAGTACAGTCAGGAAACAATACCCACTGGCTGCAGCTGCAGCTGTTTGCACCTCGGTTCTTCATTTCCATTCACTTCTCATCCCACTCCTCTCTTTGCAGGCGTCTTAGTCAGAAAGGGAAGACAAGTGTGCGGGTGTGTGATACATACAGATACAGGAGTGTGATTTTATGCATATGCTGGGGCCAGTAAGCATTTATGTCTCGAGGAGGCAGACTTCACAGAGGGACGAGTGAAACTGGGGCTTCCCAGCAGAAGAAGAAACCAGTGCTGTTCTGGTGGAGGTGCAGAGGTGGCCAACTTCAAACGCCTTAGCACAAGATGATCTGCAGCCACGTGGGTCCTCTCCCAGACAGGAGTGAGGCTTCACGGTGCAGATCTCCTACCTGAAGCTTCACCACCTCTGAAACGTCAAGGCATCAGGGTCTAACTGACTTAGTGCTACAGAGCATCTGCTGAGGTCCCCTCTGCTCCCAAGGAGCAGTCCGACCCTCCGGAGAGGACAACGGCTGTGGGTATGGCACCTCTCACACGTGAGGCAGGGGCGTCTTGCAGCTGCTCCCGTCTGCCCCTGGTTGGCTTCAGCCATGCTGCAAAAAAATAAATGGCCGGATTTGCCAGGAAGACATCAAGGAAGACAACAAAAGGCCATTTTTGGCAAACATTTTCTTCCGCCAGACGTAACGCTTATGGGGGAGGAGGCGGTTTCCTCCACGGGACAGGGCAGGGGTTCTTGGCATTAGGGAGTGCAGGGGGTCAGGTGCCCCACGTGGCGAGAGCCCTGGTTTGGTTCACAAGAGCCATATCTTTCACAGAAAGAACAGCATTTCCTGCCACAGCGACTCTTACGAGAGCAGGTGACTTTGCCAGGAGGGGGAGCTTATGGAGAAATGGATTCTCTTCCTAAAGTCTCAGAAACAAACGGCAGATGCACATAACACGCAGGGGGAAGATTTCTCTTGGCCAAGGGGACAGGGAAGTCCCCAAGGTGCTGATGTGCTGCAGGCCCCTTGCTTTGTCCAGGCTCACACTGGGGAGTAGTGCAGCCACAAGGAAAACTCGTGACACGTGGCGGTTTTTATATGCAGATCCCCACTACGTGGCATGTTTGCTACTGGGCTCCTTGGCTGAACCATCCAGGGACTGTGAACCTGACCCGTGGAGCTTCTCCTTTCCTCCTTCCTAGAGTCATTACTTTGGTCATGTTGAAGCCTTCAGAGACTGGATTAAGCCTCCCATTCCCAAATGACTGGGGCACAGAGGAGATCTGCCTCATCAGATGGCAGCAGGGACACCAGGGAGGAGCATGACTGGTGAGACCGTACAAGGACCTGCTTTGCTACAACACAGTCAGGGCTTTCAGGTGTCCTTCCTTTCCTCCCTTCAGTTCCTTGAGACAAACTAAACTGCTTTTGTCCTGACCGCAAGCATGCTCAATATTCAGTCTCTCCAAGACCTGGGAACACTCCCAAAAGGTGAATTGCTCCCTCCTGAGAAAACAAGTAAGATGGAGGCAAGAAGATGCTGAGGCTACAGCCAGTCTTTGAAATGGACCTCTTGATAGACAGCCCAGTTAACCCCACTGGGGACAGACCTGGCTTTGTCTGTTTTGGAAGAGGGGGGAGTTAGCTCAGTGCACCTTGAGAAAAGACTTTCTTCACTGAAGCACTGAGTCAAAGAAGGGAAAACAGTCTGGTTTGGAAAACATATACATTTACTGCCAAAGAGATCACTCCAGGACCAAATACCCCCTGGGAACTCCATACTGTGTGGAAGGCAGGGAATGTCTACAGTTCTTTGAGTGACCAAAAAAGAAATTATAAAAAAGTAACAGCCCAAAAGACAGCAACTGATGTGAATCAGATTAGTCCGAGAGGAACATCCGCTATGTACAGCAAGTGCCTCTGTCCATTGGGGTGAGGGGGTATGTTCCCACAGGTGCTGGAGGAAGCCTTGGACCTTCCTGTTCCTGCTGGCTGGGCAGAGCTCAGCCACTGTGTCAGAGCACAGACAGTGAAACAAATGAAACAAGAACAACAAACCCCACTGTGTTCCTCAGGGCTCCCGGTGTATCTCTGCTTCTCTCCCTCTGTGTGTCCCTACAGCTGTCTTTGCCTCTTTAGTCTATGGTTCCTGGGTGGATGCTGAGCACTGGTGGCTCTAGGCAAGTGGGAGAGTAGTTGAGGTGAGGCTCTTTGATCCACAGCAAGGGAACCCCATTCTTGCCCTCCGAGTTCTTGCTGGAGTTTCGGCTCTTGAACCGCACCAGGAGGATGGTGATGATCAAGATGCCGAAGATGGGGAAGGGGTAGAAGAAAACGAAGTAGAAGAGGGCATCATTGGAGCAGATGACAGACTGCAGCGTGGAGCCTGGAAAGAGACAAAGGGTGGTCACATTTCATGGTTTCTCAGGTAATCAGGGCATGCAAACTTCCTTAGAAACATGGAAAACCAGATGCTCATTATTCTATGTCAAAGCAGGAGGTGGAGCTCTGGGAAAAATAACAGAGTTAGAACAGAAGAAAGCTGGATGTAACAGGGCATGTTTCAGCTTTATCCCCCCAAGAGTTTCATGAGTGACAGAGTCCTCCCTGGTGGAGATTTTATAGCATCTTATAAAGCAGGGAGCCTTGCAAAGCTTGTATATTCTCGGTGGTGCAACGCAAAGGCAGCAGCACCTCAGGATCTCTCTCCCTTGAGGGCCCACAAAACCCTCATGACCTCAGTTCCCTCTGGGGCCTCTAAACCATGCAACAGCTTCTAGAGTTCATGTGAGAACTCGTGTGCTACAGACTATGCTCTGGTGCAGAGCTAATCCAACTTCCCTCCCAGGGGAGGGTTAAATCCCAGTGAGTGGCAAGGTCCATCCCCACTGGCTCGAGACACACCAGGTGGTAAATGCTGTGGGTGAGCAGCCCCAGTACAGAGCTAAGTGCATTGCAGATACTCAAAGCAGAGCAAGAGCTGGCAAGAACCACTGAGCTGACTGGAAAAGTACCAGCACCACCGACTTGCACCAGCCCCACTCACTCCTTGGCCTTTTCATCTTGGTTGAACCAAGGATGCAGGGGATGCCAGGGCCAGACAGTCATCACCTCCTCTCACCTGCATCCTGCACGTGCACAGCGACCATCCCTGACTCCTCCTCGGCCAGCCGGTACCAGACACCGTTGGGATCCGCCAGCCACTCCTCCACTCGGCACGAGTAGTTGCCGGTGTCGGCACCGCCGGCCTGCAGCACCGTCAGCCGGAAAAGCACCGCCGAGAGCCTCTGGAAGCGCAGGCGGCCCTCCCAGCGACCAGCCTCGGGGCTGAAGATGGCATCAGGGCCCACACTCAGCACCGCTTCCCTTTCCTCCTCCTCCTCCTCGCCCTCCTCCGCGTGGTCGCCCGCCTCCTTGGCCCGCAGGTTGTACCATGTCACTGCAAAGTGGGACTCTGGGCTGGAGCGGGACAGGATGCTGCAGTCCAGCGGGAAGGACTCCTTCTCCTGCACCGTGAGGTTGGCAGTGGCTGTGTCCACCTGCAAGGTGGGATCTGAGATGAAAAAATCAAGAGGTGAGAGCTGAGCTATCATCGGAACCATCCTATCGCAACACAAACTGTCACGACTCTGGTGCTGGGCACGATCCAAGCAAAACCAAAAGCTTGATGGAGCCTGCCAAGACTCACAGGGACCTCTGAGGCCAGCCCCGCAGGCACAGCATCCTCACCTCACCGTGTACCATCTGGCATGGGGTCAAACAGGCACGGGCTGCAAGCACCATCCCACCCTGGCCCACCCTCACCCCAACTAAGGATGAGAGGAGAAAGCTGCTGCAGCTCATCCAGACATGCTAAAGTCAGGATACCAAGGTTTGGTGCATGTGCTGAGGAGCAATGTGCTATTCCTCCTCAGCTACCGCTGATACAGCAAGGATGCTACCAAAGTCTTCCTCTCATTATTTTTCCTCTAGTGCTTGCTGCAAGGCTAAAGAGATGTTTTTACCTAACTGAGACACAGTGGCCAGAACCCACGATGAGTTGATTAAAGGCTGACTTCAAGAGCAATTAACATTTGGTTTAGTCATCTTGCCAGGGAGCACATACTCCAGGGATCCCTATCAGTCTGGATCTAAGCTTTCATTTAAAGATTAAAAAGCCCTTTCCAAAGTGGAAGCTGAGCAGGAAGGGCAAGTCAATAGCTCACTGAAGACAGAGGTACTTCCTCCACCAGTGA